AGGTCATAACACAAATTTGCATGAGGTGCCCAGTGATGCAGTGTTTGCCTCTCTGTGTGTGGGATGGACAGTGTGTGTGAGAGAGGACGAGAGCTTGCACTGCGTAATGGCCTGGCTGATGCATTTTTTAGCTCTCAAATGGGATATATTTCCATCCCGTCGTCTGCTGTGTTCTTGATTAAATGAAGCGTGCTCGGCTTCCCTCTCTAGATAGACAGTGAGGAGTTATGCGGAAACGCAGTGGGATGGAGAGAAAGACAAAGGAAACAAGTGTTCTACTTTGTTGTGATTTCGCTCATGCTAGATCAGAGCGGGGACAGCGAGCGAATTTTTCGATTATGAAAGATGTATTTGCAATTCAATCCAAATGGCTGTAGGCGTGAAATTCTACTCTATTAGGCTATACATGGAAATACATTCGGGTATAGTCCGAGAGAGGTACTTCCATTAGCCTGCACCATAAAAGAAAGGTGAGACCTGGGGTACTCCCTTTATGCATCCACAGTTAACATTAGTGGCTGTTATTGATATTCCAGCATGTTTTTAGGCCACTGAAGGGAATCGTAGCTGAGGTAATGTGTGTGCTTTGGGGACGTCTCGTGTAAAATGAAGATGTATAATTTTAAATGACAAAGACTCCATTTTTGTTGATTCAGTGCGGGCAATTTGCCTGTACTTGCAAACCCTGTAGGTCTTGATAGTCAATTTTCTGGCATTAAGCTAAGGGGCTTCAATTTCACATCCCAGCAATAAAGCAAGTCCTCCCCTCTTCTTCCTCTTCATATCTCATTCTCCCCTCTATTCATCCTCACGGCTTGACATTTTCTCTCTTGCCGTCTCCCTCGTTTTCCCATTTCTCCCTCTAAACTCAGCCCTCGGTGGCACGTTTGAGGCATTAATTGAATAATTAATTCCTCTCATTAGCTTGTTTTTAATTATTTCCTTGCCCCCTTCTCCGTGCCGAGTATAAACTCATCAACTGTTTTCATCCTTCCACACAAATTGCCCATGAAAACTGAGGACTGGTGGAGTGTAGCTTTAGCACACTGGCTCTATCAGTGGCTCCTAATGAGGGGACGGTTAGCCCAGGCGGAACAAGCCTAACACTGGCTTCGTGCACCAAGAGGCACAATACTAATTTAGCTCATTTAGTGTCCTTGGGCCAATTAAAGGGAGGTGAAAGGGGCCGAATCGCTAGCTGGAACTGTTTTCACTATATTGCGCTGCATTGCACAGGCCCAGACAGCAGCGAACCAGGCCTGTGTGTCTGATTGCTCGTTTGTTTGCAATGTGTTACACTAATGGAATTTATTTGCCCTACATTCTCCAGATTTGGCTCCTTTGAAGGGCCTTATTATTTGTGACACAGATTCCTTCCCAACTAAGGGGTAAATGGTCCTAAAGACTGCTATGCCCAGTTAGTCTATTTTTGTGCCCCCCTAATAAATTATGCGGGTGCTGAATAGGCAATCTGGATCATAATTTTTATGATATAATGAAATAAACACAAATAAAAACCTTGAAATAGTCCCTAGTCCCACTGACAGCTGCAACACCACAGTCATGTTCTGGTATCCACTCAGTTTGCTCTTACATTGTTTGATGTTGCTTTCATTCTCCTCGTGTATAAATGTGATTTAAGTTTGTTTCATTGAGCCTCACACTCAGTGTATGTCTTTTTTGTTTGTTTTTTTGCCTTACTGCCACATTTTATTGATTTCTGGGTTTTTTTTCTTTTTTTTGCTTGTTGTTGTTTCTTGTTGTACGTCCTTTGTTTCCTGACTGGGCCTTGTGTTGCATGCTTGTTGTCATGTCCCAGTTTGAATGTTGCCAGACAGTCAGCAGAACCATGGGCATCCAAGTCAACAAAGGTAAAGTTAACCCACTTACCCACAACCACCTGTCCGCCCCCATCATCTCCCAATGACAGCTTGCCGCATTGCTCACCCACATCCAGACACAATTTCCATTCCATGGTCCAAATGAGGGGGACTGTGAGTGGCAGAGAGTGGGCCTCATCCACCAACACTGTAGCGGAGGATTCTCTTCACAGCTTTAGATGTTTGTGCAGTAGCATATTTTTCTAGTATGTACAATCCCTACAAACTCCCCTTCACTTAGCTGTGTCATACTTGTAGCATTTTCCTCTCAGAAAGTCGCGTAGCATGCTTGAAACATCAAGTGTTGGGCGATTAAGCAAAAATATCCAATTTGGGACTGTCAAACTTTAAACCAGTGATGGACATTGTATTTCGGTTGGTGCTTATGGCCACATTAGCTCCATTTGCCCCTGCTGTGCCTGCAAAACTATAATGGCAAGTACTTAACTGTACCCCCACGATTTCTCTTTAAAAGCCACAATGGAGCACTGTAGTGAGTTGTTCAAATGGTTGACATTGTCCAGGGACAGTATCAGTGAATTCAAACCCATCATGCCAAATCCATTACAAACAATGATGGTGCACAAATGGTGCTTTAAGAGGTTAACTGTTTGATTCATGTTTGTGCTCCAAATGCTGAAAAGGCAGAAATACAAAGACACTCGCTGTAGTAATTGAAACTGACCAGGAAAAAAGTGTCAGCCATAAATTTAGCCTGTAACAGATGGCTGATAATGTCCAGCCAGTAGGGCCAACCCTGACTTCTTTGGCTTTTTTTTAGAGGCTTGTTACGTGCTGTATAAAAATTTACAAACGCTGCATATGTTTTTGGACATGACAGGGGAGAGCAAATAAAATCGAGACAATGAAATAAAAAATATGACAAGGAGAGCAGAGAGAAAGAAACAATTGTTGAATGAACTAGTTTAATTTAATTTCCACATCTGTTTTCATCAGTTACAATTTTAACAATGCATCATATTGTATAAACAGAGTATATAATTGGTATGTAAAATCTTAAAAGGGCTCTATATTATATTCAGAACATTACTATAGCTCAACAACTATTTGCTGTGTAAAGATAAGGTGGAGTAATGGCCTCCAGAACAGAGAATATAATCACACTTCCTGTGTGTGTAATCAGAGCTTCTCAGTCCTTTGTTTTGGTAGACTGTCTAGCCATGTGTTTTAGTATAGCATGCAAATCCTGTGTGTATTCCACCAGTTAGCTAATCACCACCGCTCTGCAATGCGCTCCCACAGCGTTTAGTGCTGATCAGGATGGCGACGGTGTGGAAGTTGCCATTGAACTGTGGCCATTGTTAGCACTAGCTATGCTGTTTGCACCGTTAGCTGCTAGCTGCTAGCTCAGTCACTTCCATGTTAATAACTGTGTGTTGACAGTCTCTGAATCGTAGATACGCTCTGAATATCGTATAGAGCCTACTTAATCTGTAAAGTAACAATAAACTAGACCTGTGAAAGAAATATAATGTCAGAGTAAAGTTATCAGTTCTAAGTACAAGTCCCCTAATTTGTAGTACAGTACTTGTGCACTCACACTCCACCACGGATGCAGCAGACAATATGTCAACTTGAAGAATTAAACCCATTTCAAACGTTTCTATACATGTAGGCTAAGCTAGCTAATGAGCACATCACACATGGCAGTAAATCAAGACACCCCAACGGCAATACGCTGAGGCCCAGAAATGTCTTTGTGTCTTTCACTACACACACACTTATTTCGACACACTCACACAGACAGCTCTCCTTGAAAGAATGATGTGCAATTCCGTCTGCTGCTTTTTAAAGACATAAAGAAAAAATAACACCGTAAACATGAGCATGCAATTGTGTATCGGAAAAGCTTTTTTTTTTTAACAACAACCTGGAATACTCGTAGTGGGGAAAAAAAAAAAAGCTTCAGTCAATACAGCCAATATTTGCCAAGTCATTGGACCCACTGAGGGGAATCAATTTGTGCCCAGACTCAAGGCAGACTGGGATTTAGAGAGTACAGATGACGTGACCCCCCCCCCCCCCACCCAAACCAAACATCTCATGACACACACACTGTTTAGAGCTGCTGGCCAGTCATCACAAGAGGACAGCTTCACCAAACACTGCAGGACCTCTCTGTGGTTTGTGTACTGGTTTTGCTGGACTCCTCCTAAGCTCACTCTCTGACCGGCCAACTAGGAGAACACCTGTTTACCGAGAACACCTGTACAACAGCCCACCCAGACAGATGCAAGACAACATAAGCGGCAGTTTGCTTGAATAATAAAAGACAGGACCATAAAAAAACTATAGATAACACTGCAGAGGTACAGCGGGGGGAGTGAAGTTTATGTGTTCAAGCCAGAGGCGGAACATACAGAGTCAGCAATGTCCACTTTATAGCCTAGCTTTAACTATTTTATGTGTTGTGTTAACACATACAGTAAAAAATCAATAATGCAGATAGTGTAGATAGCATTTCTGTGCACTAATAACCAGATTCGTTACACTCTTTCAACATTATTTAGAAAACATGAGCTCCGAAGCCTCTAGCACTGCACAGCAGATCCACTGTTACGGCTTTTAGAATCAAATTACTCTTAGGCCCACATGCCGTCCTTCCTTTTATCCCCTGTATAGTAGTTGAAGTCGCTGTTAGTTGTACGTAGCATGTAGAAGCCTTCAGTCATTCTGCCCTTGCCTTGTCAGTGTTCCCTCTGAGCTTTGGCAGGTTAGGATGTTAAAAATACTGCCTCTTCCAACACAGTTTGATTATGTGCACATAACCATGCTCGCATTGCGTGTTTGATCACTTGTTTCTGTTCATGCGTGCATGTTGTGAGAGTGTACACGTGTTGTTGTCTCGCGTGAGAGAGCTGGTGAGGGGGATTGAGATGTGGAGAGAGGGAAGGGGTAAGGTGTGAGAGCAACAACTGCCTGTTCACCTGCTGAAGGTGTGGGAACAATGCTATTGTTTCAGGGCAGAGTTGTCAGTGACTGTGATCCCCCCCTCCCTTACTCTCCCCTTCTTCTCTCTCTTTCTTTTCCTCTCCCTTCCTCTCTCTCATCACCACCCCCCTTCTTCCTTGTCTTCTCCCTCCCATTTCATCACCACAGAGGGAAAAACGATGGAGCATTTCGTCTGCCGGAGGTGAAAAGAACTCGTCGAGTGTAAGTAGTGGGGTTTCTGGCAGAGAGGGAGAGAGTGAGAAAGAGAGGGATGAGATGGGGCTTTGGGGCAAGGAGGGAATGGAGGCAAGGCAGAGATGGCGAAAGGGAATGGATAGACACGCAGTAGCAGCACAATCGCGTTAGCCTAGTCTCCCAGGGATAAAGTTGGGCTTAACTGCAGCATTACCCACACTCCTGCATTACAAAATGTTCCTTCGCCAGCATTTAGCATGCAAATTGGCTCCCAGATTATGCCTTTTGTATTCATTTTACCAACTGTCAGGCTGTGACGCAGGGAGAATGATAATCAGGCAGATATTGCCCCCTAGCGCTCTGGCGACAATCATCACACTGCAAGGGGGTGGGGAGGGTTTGCTGTGTTACTGCAGATCAATGACTTTTGTGTATGTGTGTGTGTCTGATGAGGAGATAGACAGGGACTGAGGGTACGAATATCTCAAAGTGAATTACACACGAGCACTTAATAAGAGTTGGGGTGATGAAGGGAAGGTGGGATTGTGGAAAAAGAAAACAAAATAAAAGGAGACCGCTGAGTTGCTGAGAGACAGAGTAGAAGTGCTCTCTCGAATGGATTACATCTGCACAAATAGGCACACAGAGCACTCATTTTAGGATATGTTGTACTGCGAGATATGCTCTGTGAATATTCCTCTTCTTAATGTGACAATTCAGCTCCATGTAGTCCAAAAAGCTCTGCTGCAGCTGGGTCCATCATGTCTGTGAAAAGCACCACAAGCAGTGTGTCTTGTGTTTTTTGTCTCTGTATGTTTCGCTCCACCAAGAGTCATCCAGGCCAGCGTTTCCCTCGTGTCTTTACCAGCTTGTATCTTTGAAATCATTATCTCCTTGAGATAACGAGTCTGATTTGAATAATGGCCCCTTATCTGATGCATAATGCTACCTCTAATTTCATTTTTTTTTTTTTTGCTAATCCCCAAACATGTATTTTACATGCATGGTGGGCACATTTGCAGACCACATGCAGAGATCACAGACCCCAGCCTCAAAGGTTTGATGCTTTAATCAGTCTGAAAAGTCACTGATTGGGTGAGGTGGATGATAAAGGATGACAGGTCTCATTTCTGAAAAGAAAAATAAGGTTTTGATGATAGAAAGCTAGAAAGATGAACTACAGATATGTATGGTCCTGCGTTTTAATGCTTGTCAGGTTAAATCACTTCAAAGAAATGGCACTTAGTGGTTAGTCTTGGTGTGTGTGTTGATATTTGCAAAGGTTAGGGATCAAATTTATTTCCTGTGAGTGCATATTCCAATGTATCCATCTCCAAATCTGTCAACTTGCCAAATCTGTCCAGGGCAGTGGTTTCCAGGTACTTAGCTTAAAGGAGAATTTCATCTTATTACAACCTGCATCTTATTTTATTCTGTTGGCATCATTTCTAACTGTTACGATAACACTGCACTCACCAAATGTAATTGCTGAATTTGGGAATGATTGCTACAGTGTCCAACATGGCGAGAAACAACAGCAGTCAGATGATTAGATATTTTGGAAACAAAGATTAGTGGGATAATATAATCCACTTTATTTGGAGATAAAACCAAAAGTGGCTGCACCCAAAATGCCTCTAATAATCCATGATTGCACAGACAGCTGCTACATACCAAGGATGGGCACTGAAAGTACTTTCTTTATTCAAGTTCTCACATTAAATTATTATAGAGTACTCATGTACTTTCAAAAAAACATAAGAATGGGAATGAAATTGGCCAACACAAGAAACAAGTGCAATTTAATATTTATTGAATCATCAGGCTTCAATTATCCTCTCATTCATTTTTCCGTATAACCGCTTATCCTGTTGTTGTCACGGGGAGGCTGCAGCCTTCCCCAGCTGACACTGGGTGAGAGGCAGACACAGGGCTGACACATAGAGACAGACAACCATTCACACTCACATTCACACCTACGCCCATTTTAGAGTCACCAATTAACCTGCATGTCTTTGGACTGTGGGAGGAAGCCGGAGTCCCTGGAGTAAACCCACGCTGACATGGGGAGAGCATGCAAACTTCACACAAAAGGGCTCCCCAGAGGTTAGACGCAGCGCTGAAAGACTGTCTTCAGAGCCACTGTCCTTCCAGTCACTTCAGTGTCTGCTCAGTTAGCACAGCGTAACAGCAGCAGCAGCAGCTAACATACAACACCAAACTCACACCAAAACAGCTCAACTCTGTTGTTTAACCTGTCAATAACCACTTGATAATGTTAGCCGCTAACTGCTAACAGTTAGCCCTTTCACTGTGTTTGCGTGTGTGTGAGTGGAGGCGGACTCTTACCAACTGTTCCCAGCAGCAGTAGTCTCCTGGTGTCTCATGGCAAAGAGCAGTAGAAGCCAAGAGGCACCGAGCAAAGCAATACTATGCATGCAGCTCTACTATGAAATTAGATTTTTCCCATTTTAAAAGTTCAAAAATGTGTATGAAAGTCATGTTTATACGTGGGAGGATGGATGGCAATTGCTCTGTCTGTTGAACAAATATTGACATCCAAATCAAGAACTTGAGTACTCATGCCCATCCCTAGTATGTGCAGCCACAGCTGGTTATAATTTGATTGAAAGCAAACTTATTTTGGAACATGCACCCAATGAGTATGGGGACATTTATAGGGAAACTCCACCGACTGAACACATCAAACTCGGTTTACAGCTCTTGTGGAGCGGTGCTGCATTTCTGAAGCGTTTTGTGAATCCAGAAGAAACTGTGCAAAATCTGATGAAGTGCCTAAAGCGATGTCACCACTGAAGAATACAGGTTTGAAAATGGAATAAATCGGTGTAGAGTTAAAAAGACATGAGCTTACTAGATCTCTGTAGCCTGCTCCCAGTCTCTGGTTGAGGCTTGCGACCTGAGGTTACATTAGCCGTCACTAGCATGACACATCCAAATCTCTGACTGAACTGTCACCACTTGAGTTGCAATGGATGGCCAAGGAGAAGAAAGTACACTGAGGCCCTTGGGAAGGTGCCCCACTTTGGCTGGCCCTCATGCCTTGCAGGTAGTTGGTCTGTAAATAAATGGATGTTGAAGTTTAGTTAATAATTTTGCCGTCTGTCTTTATTCTCTCTTCCAAATAAGTTTGGCTTATCTAGGCTCTCGTGTTTCTTGCCCTATCAGACAACAATTTAAGCAGTGTCATCATTGTTATTATGGTTAAAAATGGTGTTCAAGACCATCAAAATAAGACCCAGGTTGTATGAAACTTCTTCTCCACATCCACGTGGTGCCTTCACATGCAGCTTATTTGTGCTCACATGTTCCTTCTCCCTGTCCTCCTCCTCCATCAGGACAAGTCGACCCCTGAGGACCAGAGCTCCTGGGACAGCTTCAAGACCATGACCCCGGAGCTGTCCATCGTGCCTGGGGAGCAGAAGGACCGGATGGAGCTGCACAATAAAAACTGGGACTCCTCCTCCGCTAACACACCCGACTCGTCCGAGGGAGACTTCCAGACTGAAGTGTGAAGACACGCACACATTCACACACTCACTTGAATACACACGCGCTCACGCCGAGACGAACTTCTGAAACAGCTATACATAAGTACATGATTTCTCGCAAAGATCTCACACACACTGCTCCCCGTCTCCTGCAATGTGCTCTGTCGGATCCCATACTGTATTTGTTTACTGCTGCAGTGGACAGACACGGAAAGAAGACTGTTCTACTCTATATTTTCGCAAAGACTATTGAAAAGAAAGAACAGGGGCTTGACACGTCTGGGACAGAGGAAAGATTTTTAAATGAACTTAAAAAAAACTATGAAAAACTTATTTCTGAGAAAAAATGTCATGATTTTATTCTGGAGAAAAAAGAAAATCTCTTTCAATTGTTTGATGATTTGGGGGGGAAAAAAGAAAAAGAATATTTCTGCACCGTTCAGTTCTTTTTATAGCAAGCGGAAAAAAATCTCACTGAGGTTTCTCACACTGGTAGCCCCCCCCTAGGCACCCTGCTTTCATTTATTTCCTTTTCCCTTCTAATGGATGACGGAAGCATTCTATCAGTTCCCTTTTTTTAATTTAATTTTTTTTTTTTTTTTTTTTTTTTAATTTCGTCATTTTGGATGGATCGGGGACGGGGGAAGAGCCACTCAGTGATATGTGCCATCCGCTCTGCTTTTTTCAGGTTCCAGTTCAACAATCCCATCCATCCATTCCTCTCACATCCTCTGTGTCAACACTGTATTCCCCCTTTTTTGTGTATTTTCTATGGTTTAGTTAAAAAAAAATGTCCTCCTCTATGGTTTGAAACTTTTAATGGAAAAATAATACGATTGAAACAACTGTTCAAGGAGAATTGATTTATTTTCAGACTGGTTTGATTTCTGCTTGTGCTGCCTTTTTTCATTATTTTTTCTCTTTTTCTTCATTTCCTGTAAGAATTAACCCATGTGGAACTTTCAAAAAACATGATTTAGGACACACACACACACACGCAGACACAGCACATAAATGTGAGCTTGCTTTCTGAGGTAATGTGTGCCGCATGTTATCCGCCCATGAGGGAAAAGAAGGATAGCGATCGTCATGCAGATTCTTGCATCCCCTCCTTTTTTCCCCCCCAGTGCTTAGAGATAAAAGCCTTTAAAGATTGCAGCATCTGAATCCATTTCAGCCATCACCAATCACGGCGAAAAAGAGAATATCTCATTCATTTTCAGCCCAAATGGGATCTGTGCAAGCTCTGTTTAGCATCTCTCATATTGCTAAAATGTACGCTTATGCCGCCAAGTGAAATATCAGTCGGTTTAGCAGCTAACTTGCTCTTCCTCTGCTGCGGAGGGAATATTGTTGGCTTCACCTGACCTGAGGAGGATTTTCAAGCCAGTAATATGCAAAGCTAGACACAACTTGCGCCAAAATCTTCTTCTTTTCCCAAGAACCCCATCATGGATTTAAAGATAAACATGCCTTCCTTTGCTTTCCTCTACCACCTCCTTCTCATTTCTCCTTCTCTGCTGCCCACCCAGCGTCGTGCAACCAGAAGGCATGAAATCTTAATGTTAGCAGTGGAGCCAGATGTATAATTCCTCCTTCACATATCATGTGAGCACAGCAGCTGCACTGAGAGGGAGTGAAATAGAAAGACAGAGATGGAGTCAAAGAGGTTACGAGGCTACAAGGTGGCAGACTGAAGAGGAAACGGCAAAAGAAAAAAAAGACAGTGGTGATGCTTTCTGCTTGACATTCTACATCCGTACTTCGGTCTCTACAAGGGGACAACCAGTTTCCTGCTGTTGCTACATTAGCACATCAGTCCTCCACACACCGACAGAGAGAAAGTGTCAGAGTGCAGGATGAATTCAATAGACGGCTCGATAACTTTTCTGTCTATGTTCAAAGCGGCTCCCATTAATCTAACAGTCTGGAGAAAGAGATGAGAGACAATTTGGGGAAGAGAAAAAAAGTGCAAGAGAAAATGGTAGCAAGGAAAAGAGATCCAAAAAATATATAACGAGAAAGCTAGAGGCAGGCAGAGATGCAGATTAAGAAGGGGGAGTGCTCAAAACAGTAATTATCTGGGGATGGCGATTTGTCCTGACATTTTCCAATGCAGCCCTCAAACCATCTGTTTAAAGATCCCTAATGTGGTAGTCGTGCAGCACGGCGCAGATGGTGAGACAAGAGCGCGGCCCTTCTAACCTTTCAAGCTAATCAGCTGATAGGGGAACCTAAAGCCCCGCTCCCTCTCAGAGGCCCCCAGGTTGCAGAGCTGAGGTCACATTCACCTGACCCTCCGTGAGGCTCGGGATCCGGTTCGACTGTAAAGCAGCGTCCAGAGTCGCGGTGAATGGGTGTCGATTTATAGCAGAAGAAAACATCAGTCTCAGGGGAAACAGATTTGACCTTTACACAGACAAATTAGGGTTTTTCTTTTTTAAACATGAAACTGATCATTAGAGAGAAAGCTCTGGATGGAGTCTCTACAATGCCTTGTTACCATGGTAACGTATAAATGGGATTTGATGAAAGGACAAGAAAGAAAGAAAGAAATAAGAGCGCTTGATTTCAGTGCAGTGTAAGACTTTCTCTTTCATTAGCAAGCTTTTCCATACTCAGTGAGGGCTGGACAATAAGTGTTCATCTACAGGAACGGTAAGTGAGATACTGCTGGACTGAGTGACATGTGGATGTTTGTCATATTACAGTTTTCTTTTCTATGATGAACTCCGGTGCGAACGCAGACACGTGAAGTTGATGCTCAGAGTATGCCAGGATGTCATCTTGTTTTCCTGTGTGTTGAAAGCCTGCCAAACTCAACAGCCCATAAAGAAATATAAAACACAAGCAAGCCAATTTCCAACTGGAGGCGGATGCCATCTCTGAAACCTACTATGCTCACCTTCACCTTCACCTTCACCTCCAGCCTTTGATGCTTAGGTGTTAACCGACCGCTACAACCATCCGACATTCCGGTTGATTTCAGACTGAAAACCCCTCCCTTTCCTTTTCTCTCTCATTTTTGTTCTTTTTATACATAAGATTGTACAAAGTAGTCCTCTAATGTTTTCATAGTGTCTTTTTATATGAAAATAAATTTTCAAATTGATCTCAGTGTCTCATATGTGCATACCCGCTGATTCAAGGGCATCTGCGGATGAGAGCAACTTGGCTCCTTTCTTGATTTGCAGTGTACTCGCAATCCCATGTTTTCGTAATATCACTCTGGGTGTTGGGCATGACAAACTCTGTTACCCAGAAGCATTGAAGCTTAACTGTGACCAATCAGAGGCCCCGCTGGTCTGTCTGAAAATGTAAGAGGAACAGTTCTGTGGGTTTGAAGTCATGTTGCACTGGAATAACCAAGGGGGGGAATGTCAACTCAAAGTGATTATTTCATTAAAAATGTATCAACTTTGAGCGATATTTATGCTAATAACAATCCTCTTCCAAAGTGGATTTTCCCAAAAATGGTTTGTTATGTAACATGGTGAAAGTAGTCACAGTGGACAGGCTTAGATAGTCCAGTCAGTCAGTCGGTGCTGTAATGAAGGAACAAGAGGCGAGAGATGACAGTGCGCATGCCTAGGTCTTTCTCCATTCGCCCTCCAAGGGGCTTGTGGGTAATTAAGTGTGGATGAGTCTGCCCATGGAGCTGCCATCACTCACCCCGGAGAAAGGCCACCAACTGTAACTTTCTCAAGGGAGCGAGAGTGTGTTGGAGAGCGATGAGAGAGAGGTCAGAGGAGGGAGAAAATAGAGAAGCTAACCCCGAGGACGAAATGCATGGTGACAGAGCAAAGGCAAGGAGGGGGTTTTCACATTACCTCTGGCAGTAGAGTCACAGTGATTACAGTGCCTCCTGGTTATTCTCCCTGAGGAGTGTGGGTAATTAAGTTGTGGTACTGGTGTGTCACCAGTGACCTCAGGAGAGACCCTGCTGACAAATAATACGTGGAGACAAAGTGAAGCGTGGTCAGACATGAGTTGGAGGGAGAGATAACAAATTTCAACTTGACTGAGGCTGTGTCCACCAGGAACCTCTTGTCAGTGCTGCCTTCTTCTTGATATTTACAATAAAGACAGGACATGCTCTTGCTTGATCCTGACAGCGCTGGAAGAGAAAGCATGTTTAAGTGCTCAGAACAGCAAGTCCTCAAAGTTTAATATCGCTGAGTTTGAACACAAGCAATCTGAGGAGCCTCAATGTGCCTTTTCAATAGTGATGCAGCAGGAACATGAAGCGTCTGACTCTTCATGCGTAGTCAAACTGATAATACACGAGATTCTGTTTTTTCCTCTGTGTGTTTTGGCTTCACTTCTGTAACAAGCAGTTATTGTTGTGGTGTTTTGTCTCTCTATTCCCAGGGATCACTGCACAAAAGGCTCGCCAGTACTGTGACGTCACCCCCTAAACAAACAAGCATAGGCTGTACTACAGAGGATTACAAGCAGGCAGTCGCCCATTGTTACTGTGAGTCAGCTGGTTTAAAGGGACAGGTCACTCCAAAACCCAAAACACATATTTTTCCTCATACCTGCAGTGCTCTTTTCTCAATCTAGATTATTTGGTGTGACGTGTTGGAGATAATGACCGTAGAGTTATGGAACTAGATGCTACTTTGCTTGTGGTGCTCAAAGCGTACAAAATATATATCTTTGCAAAACTCAACAGCAATGTCTCTTTCCAGGAATTATGACCTGGTAACTCAAGATAATCCAAAAAGCTTCTCATAAGCAGTTTCATGCACACACAGAAACATGTTATGCCAGCAAAGCTGCTGTGTGCAATTTTTCATGGAAACCTGGAGGCAGCAGAGGGCATCCATAATGCACAGAGGCCAGGAGGTGGTGGTGTGTCCCCTAAGATACTTAGCTATAATCAGATATATGTGGTGCAATATAAAGCTTATTATCCATTTAGTTAACACATATACCATACAAGGACAGGAATAACAGATGAAAATGATCAGTTATGCTCCAAGTAATAGCTGGAACCAGTGTCGCAGTGGTGTTTGTAGGTGAGTATACTGAGGCTTCTGGATATTTCCTCCACCTCCTATCGACACACACTCCTGCGGTGCTGCACTGCCGGTTGTTATCTAACATTATGTCCATCTGATCGTTCTAGAGATGCTTCTGCCTTTAGTTGTTACTGTCATCAGTTTTATTATTGTCAGATGTTATGGAACAAAACAGGCGGAAAGGATATTAGGATATTTTACAAGTTTATCCTTAAGACTACGCGTTGTAACATGACTCCCTGCAGCTTTAATTTAAATGATGTGTGTTGCTACAGTGCAGTGTTGTGCATGTTCACACTTCCCAAGAGCTAGCTCAAAGTTCACTTCACATATTTTGAAATGAAATATTTAACGTTCATAGTACAATTTTTGAATCTTAAACCAAGTCCAAATTCCCAATTTAGGTTTTTTTTTCATTTGTTTGTAATAAATTAAAATCTTACAGATAAAGTTCAGACTTGGTTTTTAAGCAGGATTTATACTTGTGCGGTGGTGTGTCTGTGTCACTCTGCAGTTACACCTCCAAAACACTAGTCTGAGGCAGAGGTTTCTGTGAAGTGCTGTAAAGTTTAGTTGATTCAAAACACACATTAAACACACATTAAACATGGCTTAATAGAGAAAATTTCAAACACAAGTACACAAATCAGCTTCACTATAACTCGCAGCATACAGAGACAAACACTTGTCTTTATCTGGACACATTTTCCCCACAAATACAACATGCTAATGTTATTAGCACAAGCCTATGGCATTTTAAATTGTATAAATTAGCCCTGTGGCTAGTGGACTTTTCCTCTTCTCATATAAAGCCAGGGACAACAGCAAC